GTCAGAGGAGATGAACGAAGTAGCGCGCAGGCCTCCCAAACCCCCACACTGAGCAGCCCCCGAAGTTAAAGAAGTTAAAAACTTCCTCAACATAGGTTATAACTAGGGATAACATATGTTATAACCTATGCTAAGTTCGATAAGTTCCTTGGAAGTTATAACACAAATATAAGTAAGTTCTAAAACATGTGAAATTTATAACATAGTTATGACACATGCTATGTTGAAGCTTGCAGAACTTAGAAACAAGTTACGGAAGTTATTTTTTATGTTTGTTTTTTGATGATTTGTAAGTTCTGTGCAAAAAAAAGTATATTCACCAACAAGGTTAATAAGTGCTCACATTGTGCAGGATTCGTTGATTCTTTTGGCGGTTGTCTGCCCAGGCTGTGTGAGATGCACCATGATGCACATGTGACATTTTTTTAATTGTTGTTGTTCAGAGACACCACGCAGGAAGACACAACGAAAAAGAAACGCAATGCAATTATTTAACCTTTGGCGGTTGTTCTGCCCAGAAATGCAATCTTGTATGGAAAGAAATTGTTTGTGTGCAGACATACCGATCATTTTTTTGCGATAGAAACGGAAGGCGCAGGGATACAGAGAGATACACAGGGATACATTGGGATACACGTGTATCCCGGTGTATCCCGGTGTATCCCCGTGTGTCTCCTTAGACCTCCTTACCACCAAGTTTTTTTGATCTATGGAAAGAGGGAAGCGTTGAGTTATCGAAGGATGATGTTCTCTTCTTTGGACGTGACAGTGCAGGATTGGCTTTGTTCCTTCTGGAACGAGAAGAGCGTTTTTTCGCTTTCATCGAACAACTGGCGGAAGAATCAGCAGCGGTTTTCAACACTCGCGCGTTCAAACGAACGCCCCAGATCGAAGCTGTGCCAATCGGTTGCAGCAATGTCTGGCGGCCAGCGTGGTGGTGCCACGAAGATGACAAAGTCGTGTGTCTGCTGTAAAAGTGCGACTGGCTGTGGACTTGTGGCGGTTGTCTGCCCAGAATTTGAAAACACTTGTGTTTTCTGTGTTTTTGGCTCGGCGGTTGTCTGCCCTGATTTTTGGCAACGCAAACAACTTAAGCAACTTAATAACTTCTACAACTTTCTTATAACTTACTTACACTTTCTTTCATATAACTTACTTATAACTTATTTTTAACTTCAGTAAGTGCTATAACTAAAGTTATAACTTTGATAACTTGGGGGGGCTGCTTAGTGCACCGGCGGCCAAGCGGTGACAGCCCAGCTCATCGTCGTGAGCATTTGGGCTGCTGGTAAGGGGAGAAGCAGCGTGCACGGCTGCAGGGAATCTCACGGAAAAAACCGAGCTGGAATGAACACAGAAAATGCTGAGGCAGCCACGCCAGAAGCGTCTCGAAGCAATGACCTGTCAGAGGAACTCCAGTCAAAGGCTTTCTGCCTGCCAATTGCATTGGTATCCATGCATCAGCATGGACCTGAGTCTCAGGTGTAGGATCTTCCTCACGTTTCACGTGTGCACCCAAGGCACTAATCCCCAACGCACGTAAAGAAAGCTGAAGACGACACTAAGGGGAAGGAGCGGAAGCTGCCAAAGCAGGTGTGGGACTGCAACTTGATGACAAGTGAAACCAAAGTCACGAATGAACGGATCTGCGAAGCCTTCAAACCACATGCTGCACTGCAGACTGAACAATAACGTGTGAATCATCTGCCTCTGGTCATCCTGGTTGACGCTGAAGAAGTGGTCGTCAACAATGCCAAGGTTCCCTGGCATGATGGCTGGGCAAAGAGGAAGACCTACGAGCTAGTGGGCTGCAAAGTAGTAAATAGCGCATGCATAGCCATAAGAAGGCTCTGTTTGCGTCGTAAAGGTTCATGTGCGACATGAATATTGCAAAAGCTTGTGGGGTGCGTGAAACTTCTTCCAAGTATATGCGTCACTGCTGTTGAGTAGATATTTTGGTAGTTGGCTCAAGTTGTATGGAGACTTCTGCAATGTCACTGTCAGCACCGACAGGTCAGCCACGGAAAATACACAGTCTGTTGGTGCAGGCGCTCTGAGGGTGACATGTGCTTCGCTCTAGATGTAGTTAAGAACCACTATGCTGTTCATTTTCTAATCGCCTCTCCTACAGAAACATGCAACAAAGTAGCACGAGGTTTAAAAACCGAGCTGGAATGAACACAGAAAATGCTGAGGCAGCCGCCAAATCGCACTCTCGCCTGCATTTCGCGCACTCGACACGCACGATCTCCGCAGAGGATTGCGCGGGCAGCCGGCAAATCGCACTCTCGCCTGTATTTCGCGCACTCGACACGCACGATCTCCGCAGAGGGTTGCACTTTC